TAAATAAACATTAAACTATCTTACCTACTTTAAATATGAAAGCAGATCTAAGTTTTATATATATATTTGAAAATTCCATCAAGTGAGTCGTCTTTATGGTACTAATGAAGTCTAAAGAACAAGGTTTGCTTTGGTTTATTGACTATTGTAATCAGCATAAAGTTATTTCTACATCAGAATACAATTTAGGTTTCTACCTTGTTGTGGAATTTTAAATCATTCAAGAATTCCAGAAATTGAGAGACTTATAATAGGAATTTTCTTTATCAATCGCAGACAGTGTTGAATTTTCAGAATGGATTGTGACAATCCTTGGATATTTTATATGTAATCATTAGTTATTTCTGCATCAGAATACACTTTAGGTTTCTAACTTAGGAATTTTCTTTATCAATTGTGGACAGTGTTGAATTTTCAGAATGGATAGCAACAATCCTTGGATATTTTATATGTAATCATTAGTTATTTCTACATCAGAATACACTTTAGGTTTCTACCTTGTTGTAGAATTTTAAATCATTCAAAAATTTGATTATTTTTCATGAATCATCATTTCAAATGAGGATGGCAGAGAACAAAATAATAGCAAATGCATAATTTAAATATGTTTAATAAAGCACTTTTATGGTTGTAAATTATGTAACAATCACCACCAAATCTTAATTTTTTCAATTTTTACAATTATAATTTCTAACTCAAATTTTTTCTAAAATAACAAAAAAAAATTGGATGTAGCTAAACTGTGAAAAAATGAAAGTAGTGAGTTTAAATGAGGAGATAAAGAGTAGGTCAGAGTTATTACAAAAAGTGATGAAAAATTAATGGAAAAGGAAGTGGACAACCAAAGATTAAAAGAAGAGGATGAAAGAAACATACAAATGTTGATAAAAGTTGATGAAAAAGCAAAGGAGAAAGACCAAAATTAAAAAAAAAATCAAGATGATCATACAATTTCATTTGCTTCATCATCTGATATAATAGCACCTTGTGCAGATTCTTCTAAATAAATTAAAGCTGCTTCTGTGGCTTTTTTTTGGCTCATACCAAAGTGAAATTGGTACTAGGTTTGAATATAAATCATTGCTGCTATTGCTGCTATTAATCTCACTGCTGCTATTACCCCCACCACTACTGCTGCCACTACTATCACTAGAACCAAAACTACTGCCACCAGAACCACCAGAACCATTACCACAGAGCTCCAAAACCCTGGAACATTTTGCAAATTTGAGAGTGACGTTTTGATAATGCACCTGATTTGATGGTTGTGCAACCAATATCATTTAGTTGGTTGCTTTTTGCTTGGTGGGCTTTTGCTGCTCCAATATATAGGTCTATTTTTTGATAACTTTTAGCTGATTTTGTCATTTTACAAGTTTGTCTTACAATTTTTTGTGCTTTGTCTAAATTTTGAATTGGTGTTACATGATATGGTGTGGGTTTTTTTTGAGAGAGTTGAGAAAGTCTTTTCAGTTGATTATGATGATGGGGTTGCCATTTTGATGGCAGGTTATATGTTTGTACTATGCTGGTATTACAGTCAGGTATTTTACCCAATATGGAAATTGATTCTGGAAAAATTTGAACCCCCCTCATTGATCAATTCATATTAATATATGTTGCAAATGAGTTTATGTGATGCTTCCATAATATGTAAACAAAAAAATTTTTTAAAAAAATCCAAATTATAATAATCAAAATAAATACTATTCAATTTTCTCTTTCATAATCACTCAATAATCACTAATAATCAGTTAAATTGCTCAAAGTATGT